TCGACAAAACATGGATGAATAACCAGTAGTGGCTAATGTATATCTGTCTTTCATTTCTCGGGTGACAGACAGGATAGGAAAAGTGGGAAAAGTCTTAAAGAAACACAATATAAAAACAATGTTCAAGCCAACAAGGAAAATACAGCAATCAATCAGATCAGCCAAGAATAAGAGAAACCCACTGTCAAGCGCTGGAGTCTTTCGTTAACCATGCACATGTGGTAAGATATACATAGGAACGACAAAAAGATTCATGGGAACCAGGATGAACGAACACAAAAGAAACTGCAGACTATTGCGGAACATGCGCTTAGTGAAGGGAATAACGAAATACTCTTTGTTGAGGTCAAGCTTCTTGCACCGACTTCCGGATATCACAATCGTCTTGTACGTGAAGTGTTATGTAACGCCACTGCTTCGCCATTGCTTTGCCACTACTGCAGGCGACTGACTTGCAGCGAAGAACGAAACTGCTTCATCAGCATACCGCTTATTCAGCATAATTACTTAGTTTATAGGAATATTATTTTTTAAACACCATTCTTGAGCCAACTTTATTGAATTGTACACCGTACAGCTAAATATTGTCAATCGGGTCTAGAGTAGGGTATCTAGTAAATAAGTTTTGATGTGTAATTTGTTTAAATAAAAGTTACAACGAATAATTGGATGCCAAGAGACTTGCTTCTGTTCCCTAACTAAAAGAACTTAACAGAAGCTATAGAAATCCAAAAACATACGGAGAACTTCAACAGGAAAGAAGAAACACTAAAACTTAACCAAATCTGGAACCCGATCCCCAAAAACGCGAGAAAGATCCCATTGAGTACAGAGAAAATTCAGATTAGCCAAGTGCCGCGAAGCCCCGCCCCTCCCCCACCACAGCCACCAGTGGCGGCTCGTGACTATTTCAAGTGAGGAGGCTAATTACAGTATAGAATTTCATGAAGGAATTCCATATTTTGTTTTTTTAACTTTACTAAAATTCCTTAAAATTTTACCACTGAAATATCCTGGAATTCCACAAAATTTTCATAAAATTCTTTGGAATTTCATTGACATTTCATGTAATTTCTTAAAAATATCTCGGAATTCACTAAAATTTTATGAGAATATCCACGTTCATAACCGAAAATTTCTCGAAAGTCCAATGAAACTTCAAGGAATTTTCAAAATTTAATTTATTTTTATAAGAATTTTTCGAAATTTCACCGAAATTCTCTTTTAATAGCCAGGAATTTCTGGGAATATTCAAGTAATTTCTTAAAAATTCATCAAAATATATTGAAATTTCATGTTATTACGTGGGAATTTTTCGGAATATCACCGAAATTCCATGTTTTTAGCTGGAAATTCCTCGGCATTACTAAAATTCAGTAAAAACTGAAATTTCATGTTGGGAATTTCGGTGTAATTTCATGTAATTGTTTAAAATTCCTCCATATAATAATTCATTTAGGATTTTGTGTAATTCGATCGGAATTTCACTGAATTTTCAAGTAATTCGAGAGGAATTAAAATTTAATGTGAATTCTATGGAAATTTCACATCTAATTCCTTTTTCAGAATAACATAATTATTCTACCGAAATTCCACTAAATTATGGAATTCTGAGATTTTAATAGATTTTTTGAGAATTCCAAAAGATATTTGGGAATTTTAAAGGAAATATTTTTCAGAAATGTCAATGATAACCTATAAGTCGAGATTTGATAAAAACATATGGCAACGCTGCTCATGATACAACAAACGTCAAAAAATTGAAATATCAAAGTAGGCCTTGGTTTTTTTTGACAGTCGATATAATATGGCAACACTGCTTATAATACAACAAAAATCAAAAAATTGGTCCTGTTTGGCTACTTTTTACGTATTCGTCGAGGCTAAATCTATATGCCCATGTAATTTTGTTTTTAATTTTGACAACTGTCAATGTCAAAAATTTCTACCTTTTCTTTTTTTCAAAAAACAAATGTCAGAAAACGATCCCCAGGCTCCGAAAACCCTAAAATAAGAAGTTTCATCGATATATGTCAAAAACCAACCGCCTGGCAACGCCGAACGTCTTTTTTGACATATGTTAAAAAAAATAATATATACTTCCTAAGGCCGTTTTTTAGTGGGTTTTAGGGTGAGATTTATGTAGCAACAGTTGGTACAAAAAATTCAATTTCCCGTCGGGTTTGGAATTCGAATTTTTGAATTTTCCCGGCTCCTGATTGGTTTGGGGATTCGAATTTTGTTTATTCTCGGCTCTTGATTGGCTTTAAAATAATCTATATCAGTTAACAATGAACGGATTCATTCAGATAAAACTTTTGTCGCACGACACTTTGGCAATATCGACAAATGTCATCTGTCAAATTTGACACATGTTCAACTTTTTCTCCGCTCTACTATAAAAGCTACGAAAATCAAATCCCGATACAAGGCAGTTTCGCGACGCTAACTATCGATTTGTATCAAAAAAAATTGACAGCTGTCAACGTCAAAAAAGTTTTTTTTTTTAATTTTGCGAATTTCGAGAAAAAAAATGATAGAAAACGATCCCCGGACCCCAAAAACCTTAAATAAAAATTCCAAAAAAAAAACAATGAAAATGACATTCCAAAACCTACTTGATAAAACTAAAGTTTTTCTCACTTACCCTGTTAAAACATTGAAAATTTTTGGTGAAATGAAGAAAACTCAAAGTCTCGTACTTTAAATCAGTTGTTCCGACCAAAAAAGCCCTGAAAAAGCGGACAAATTCAAAGAAAAACCTCTAAAAATGACATTCCAGAGCCTACTTAATGAAATTTGAGTTTTTGTCACTTACCCCATTGAAAAACTGGAAATTTTTAGCATAAAATGTAGGAAATTCAAAGCCTCGTATTCCAAATCGGTTTTCTTGACTGAAAACGGCTTGGAAAAGCGGAAAATTCGAGGAAAAACTGGATAGAAATGTAAATACGTCAATTAAAAATTGCCGACTGTCAAAACTGGCAAATGACATTTATTACAAAACCTATTTGAAGTTGGTACAAACGGTGTTGCCACATCAAAACTTAAAAAAAAAAAAAAAAAAATTAATGGGATTTTGTTATTTATGTCATTTCAAAACTGGACATTTTTGCTAGAAAATGAAGAAAACTCAAAGCCTCGTATGTTAAATTGCCTTTTTCCATTGAAAAGCCCCGGAAAAGTGAAAAATTCGAGGAAAAACTGGCAAAAAATTACAAGGCGTCACTTCAAAATGGCCAACTAAAAACAACGTTGCCACATCTCATTTTGGAAAACAAAAATAACATTTTAAAAGGGTTTTTTGTTTAAAATTCAATTTAATAATTAATTAATAATGATTTTAATAATTAAAATACTCCAAATAAATCATAGAAAACTTGTTTTTAGTTTTATTTCAATGAAAATGACATTACAAGGTTTCCTTATTGATTATAGTGAGTAAGACAAAGACAATGATAAAGTAGTATATGTTTGCAAAAACCACCGTTTTCTGAAAAAAGTAAAAATCTTAAAAAAACCAGCATTCCAAAGCCAATTTGATAAAACTAAAGTTTTTGAATATTTCCGACTCTTTGATCGAACGCTAAAAATCGCATTTTAAATATTCTCGGTTTTTGATTGGTTCTAAATTATTCACTGACCAATAGAATTATAGACTGAGTCCCGTGATTAAAATAACTCTAGCCCTTCGGACTCGCGTATAACTCCGGCCCTTCGGGCTCGTGTATAACTCCGGCCCTTTGGGCCGGGTTCGCATATAACTCCGGCCCTTCGGGCCGGTATTACTGAGTATCCCAGATTCACAGATATTTGTTGTGGAGGCGCGGAATTGATTGAAATAATGTTGTCACATTTTTCTAAATTACATTGAAATATCGAAAATTGGAAAGTGTAATTTGTTAATTATTATTTTAATTAGAAATCAGGAATAAAAAATTGAGATTGAATTTTCAATTTTTTGGGGGAGGTTTAGCCTCCCCTGCCTCCTCTGACGAGCCGCCACTGACAGCCACTTACAAATAAATACAACTTACGTTCGAGAACGCGTCAGTCTGCTACCAGAATCGGACATGGAAGCACCTCTGAAGATGCTAGCCACGCATGCTAGCGAAACGTCAAGAAGAAATTCCAACTTACGACGCCCATTAAGCCCGAAAGAAAACTCCTTATCAACTGCAGAATCATCTTATAGTTCCAAATTACGTATTATATTTATGAATAATTTTATGTATAAATAGCGGTTCATTTCAATTAATATTTCAGTATAAAACCTTTTCTGGTGAATTACTCATATATCACACAACACCCAAGCCAGAGTGTGAGGCAGCACTCTATATACAACATCCTTTACAGGTGTCACCTCTAGCAGGGCACTGTGAATATACCTAGCGACAGCAAGGTAACCTTGGTCAAAAGGGCCTTATTGTTAAAAAGTACTAAAAGGTAAATTCATAATCTCGGTTCAAGTTCATCTTTCGTTAGAATTACCAGAAACAGGTGTTTTTTCTTATATGTAGATAGATAAAATATGATCCTAATGAGATTTTCAAACACATGGAGTTTCTGGAAATTAACTACTTAATTTAAATGTAAAAGGCATCAAATTTCATAGTTTCAAGATTATGTGGCTGTTACCCCAAATTGACAATTATATAGGCAAAATTTGTGTTTTAACTAATATTTAATTATACTGGATCACAAATTGTTATAATAACTCATTCAAAAACTTATTCAAAGTTAAGGAAACATCAGTAGTAGATTATAGCTGTTCCTGCATCTCCTCACACCACGAATTTTGAAATTGGTTATAATTTCCTACTGTTCATAATATAGAAGTTTAAAATTGGAATTTGAATTAATTTAAATTTCCAGAAATTATAATAATAATCCAAGAAAGTTTTTCCAAAAAAGGATTTGCAGTACATTTACCAAACAAAGGAGACAAATTTTGACTTAATTATAACAAACCAACATTTCAGTATATCAAAACATCTTACCTGCATATAAAATCACTTCTACAGCTCAGCATAATATTTCTTTCACTATAAATGTGTTCCTGCTGCTGAGTATCGACAATGTGCTGCTTTTTCAAACATTTCAAGGCAAAAGTGAGCGAGGTATCTTTCGTATATTGAACCAGTTCCACTCTACCAAAACCTCCAATACCCAAAGTTGCAACAACATCCAAATCATCCAAACTTATATAATCAAATTCTATAATGGAAAAAATTAATAATTTACAAAAGCCTATAGAAAAATGGTTATTAGATATTTTACCTTGTTGTTCAGTCAAAACGGGCCGATTCATCCTCTCTTCATCACCATAATTTTTCTCTTTTATCTCACTCAAACTTCCTAATAATTGATTAAATGAATCTCTGTCTAGAGTGAGACATTCAACTCCTGGATGTAAGGCTATTATTGATGCAGTTCTACAATCTTCTTTAAGCAAGGCTTGCTCTCCAAAATAATCCCCTCGAGTCAAAGTCCGGATTTCTTCTTCTTCAAGATGACCTAAATTAATCATAAATAATTATTGAATCATTTTACATCAAAATACTGACAGTTATTTACCTGGTAAACGTTGTGTGACTTTAACACTTCCACTACTAATAATAAAGAAAGTATCGCCGCTAGCCCCTTGTCTAATGATAAAAGCTCCAGCTGGATAAAATTCCTAGAAAAAAAAAATGTAATTATTTCTAACAATGAAATTATTATAAAACATTTACCACTTCTAATACATCAGCAATCTTGGTTAAAACATCATCACATAAGTTTTCTAGTAAAGGTACAGATTTCAAAAAGTTGATGTTGTCTTGCAGCCTTTGCAATCCTGTTCTTTTCATGATTTGTTGGAAAACTTTTCGGTCTAGTCGCCATACTTTTGAATCTGTTACAGCTGCAAATGAAAATAGATTTATTGATAATTATTTGAAAATTTTATTAAAAATCTTGTAACCTGATATTAGTTTATTTATTTTCCTTTTACTGGTAGTATTATCCGTTCACAATCCGATGTCCACAGGTACAGGTAAAATGTATCTCTTTTCAGTGATATTTGATAGGGAAAGGTGATAAATTTACCTTTACCTTTGGACTATGGATTATGGATTATGGATATAGTTTCCCAATTATTTGTTCCACCTCTTAACTTACTTATATACGTAGCTATACAAAATTCTAATTTTTCCTTACGTTTTTCAACTTTTTTTTTTCAATAAAATTTCCAACCTACCTCTAATTGAGGCAGTCCTGGTACAATTATACAAAATGGCTAGTTCTCCAAAAGCTTTGCCCGGTCCCATGTGCCCCAGAATTTTTTGATCTTGCAACACTTCCAGATCACCTTCGGCCGAAACGAACAAATGGACACCGGCATTACCTTGCCTTACAATATAAGAGCCAGAAGGAAACTCTTTGGGCTCCATTGCGTCAACTATTTCTCGAATCTGGGACGTGTCCAGGTTTTTCAGGAAGGCGTTATCCATTATTGCGTCTTTTATGAGTTGTTTGGATCTAGAACAATAATTATGTTTTGTAGTATACAGGGTGTAAAAAAAAGTATATCGGATTTCGAGGGGTGATATTACATATGAAAATAAGAAAAAAAGTTCCTATGAACATATGCCCTAAGATGCTCTTTAGAGAAGTTACAGCCCTTCAAACGGTAGATAAAAATAATAGATTTTATTTATTTTCCTTGAAATTTGGTATTTTCGCATATACTTTGATGCTTCAGCGAATGATTATGATAAAAAAAGTCGTAACAGTTCTGAAAAGGTAGAGGGTAGTTACTCACAAAAAGTACATAGAGTACACAAATAGTACAAAAAGCATCTTAGGGCAATATGTTCATATAGGAACTTTTTTTTTCATTTTCATATGTAGTATCACCCTCGAAGTCTGGTACACTAATTTTTTTTACACCCTGTATATATAGATGGTTATTAGTTTTGAAAATTCTTTATACCTGAAATCCTTTTCATATTTTGTAATGCAAATATCGTTGGTTTGGATGAATTTTTCGCTAGATTCAGCTGAAACGCCTTGCTTTTTGTGATGGGCATTAGTATTGTCCTGAGAATGATGGGCAGTGGTAGTTTGGGATAATCTGTTGGCCATTGCGTGCTGTTCCTGGATGCTGCTGAGGATGTCTTCTTTTGAGGCTGTTTGATGAAGAACACTCTGGAAAAAAAATCATAATATTGTCAATTACTTAAGTGAATACCACTCTGTACATCAATTTTACTAAAATGTGATGACGAGTCAGTATTTATTCAGTATAAATACAGCGCCGAAATCCATTACCGGCAGACTAAAGCTAATGGGAAAAGCCCCTCTAGCTAAGTTTGCTCCCAATGCAAACTACCTTTAACGGGAAAGATCCTTCTGGAGCTGTCTCAAAGCCAGCTTTAGTCATAATACAGAGTGGCCCATAAGTAGTACATCCCTCTGTAGAAGAGACGTCATGATACTATTTCTAGGGTAATACTATTATTATTCAATACACATCTTATTATACCTATACCAAGCGAGTTTCTCTCTACCTGAACCCCACTTACGCCCCCAAGTCACGCTCCTGTTGTGACGTCCCAGGACGAAACGTATAGGAGCTGTGATAATATAGTATATGGTACTACTATAGTATTTGAATGTTATTTTTGTTAAAAATATTTATAATTGAATTATAGAAACGCTGAAATATCAAAGTTTTTTCAACTATTTCTCATCTTTTTTTCCCTTTCAGTCTTTACCATCGTTTTTATTTTATTTCATTAAATTTTTCAATGGGTGCCAGCTGCTAAGTTCAGCCACTCAGCCTGCGTGGCTGACATTTTTTGAGAGCTGTCATAGTTCAATTTTTGCGCGTACTCTATGCCTAAAAATGATACGGCTTCGCTAAATTTAGCTTTTGAAAATGCGCGCGTTAAACACTGAAAAGGGTACCGGCAAGCTCTGACGCTTCCTGCTGACAAGCAGTACCAGTTGCCAAAAACACTTCGCCCGCTTCGTGTGGTTCGAGAGAAGAGACCCGCGGTTTTTCGTTTGCCTCGACCGGTTAAATCAATTTCGTTGCACTACCACGCATGGGGCTTGAACTTCTTGAATGAGCTGGCCAGCTGAATGGAGTTTGGAAGTAGAGCAAAGTAAGGTGAAAAAATATCTTTTTTAATTTCGATATATTTCAAACTTGGAATTTCTAGAAGAATGTGCTGCTGCGGCTCTGATTTTACAGAAGTAAAAAAAAAATATATTCTGGTTGCCTGTGGATTTCAAATTGTCGGATGACGTGGTGTGCCATATGACGTGTGGCAAGTGTGTACGCGGCATATTATTGATTGCACATTAGGTGTCTTGGGGGCAGATAAAAAGGCTGTGACTGGTCCTATACTTCATGAGGTCTTAGCACAGCGGTAGGATTATACTTTATCTAAAAAGGGTTAGAGAATCAGGAGCGTGAGGCTTTGCCCCAAAACTATCTTATACCCAAAAATCTCCCCAACCTAAAACCACCAATGCTAAATACCGAAATTTTATCAATTTTCCCCTCCCTAACACAGAAAAAAAGACAAATATTTTTTTCAAGATCAGTGCCAGCTTAGTATAGGCATTTCTGCTTTGAGTACTGCCTTGGATCACTTATTAAGAGAAAACAGCGAAACTTAAAATACCATTTTTATCATAACCATTGCAATAATTTTCTCCAACGGTTCAACTGCTGTTAGGTAACTGACGAGCTGATTCTAAATTCACTTATTCACGATATGGTGAATAATGAAGTGATCGAGGAATGTCAACCAGTATTTGGACAATAATTCATCTCCTCGTTCTTTTTGATCACCAAAAGCGATAGTGTTTCAAAAAGATTTATTCTTAATCCTAAAAAGCTTAATGTATATATTTCTCTTCCACATTTTAACTTGGAGGATTTTAGGACCGCAACCAAACTAAGTCAGCCTGGTCATTATATGACAACAATTGACCTAAAAGATGCTTATTATACAGTCCCCATTCACCTTGATGATCGTAAGTATCTAAAGATTTCGATTCAGAAATCAATTGATGCAATTTTGTTGTTTGCCATTCGGCCTCTCTATTGCACCTTTTATTTTTACAAAAATTATGTAGCCAGTTGCTGCATATATACCAAGAGAGGAATATTGTGTAATATATCTAGATGATTGGCTTATCTTCGGCAAGTCAAAAGAACAGTGTGAATGTTACCTTAATTTGGTTATATCTCTCCCCACCCAGTGTAGATTTTTAGGATTTATTTTTAATAGTGGTAACATGACTCTAGGATTTCCTCATCAGGAAAAAATATTAAAAATCTTCAGCTCAATAAAGGATACAAAATCTAAACAATAAAACTTTGCTAGGCTTATTGGTTTATTGGTGTCAAGCTTGTCCAACCATCAAGTATGGCTGACTTTACACAAAATCCCTAGAAAAATTGAAAAATGTTGCGCTTTTGCATAATAATCAGAATTATAACGCTCTTATGTCTATACATGGAAAATGTATTGAAGAATTTAATTGGCGAGAAAGAAATATATTGTACTTAAATAACAATTTAATATGCGTGAAGACCATCATGATCTGTTCTGTTTATATATTCTGACAGTTCAAAAACAGGATGGGGAGCAGTGTGTGGCAGTGAAAAGCAGCATGGATGGTAGTCTTTAAAAGAGAGCAAACTCCATATTAATTTTCCTGGAATTGAAAGCTGCTTTTCACGGGCACATAATTTAAGATCTGCTCTATCCTATTGAAAAATGACAATACAACGGCAATTTGTTATATAAATAGAATGGGTAGTACAAAATATCCTCATTTATTTAATTTTTGAATGGTGTGAGATCAGAGACCTTTGGTTAATTACATCGTAAAAGGACCTATACATTTTAATGCTACGGCAATTTTATCTTATCCCTTCTTCTCCGGGCAAATATTTCCACTGAAAACTTTCCTGGTAGTAGGACACTTATCAGGGAAGTTTTCCTGAAAAAAGGCATACCTAAATGTAACTTATCCACGGCCATGGAGTCCCTGTCAACATCCACAAACCGTATGAAGTAGCTTTTAAAGCCTGGTGGGAATTCTGTTTAAATAAGCGAACATGTGTTTTTGGTACGGAAGTAACTAAAGGTAATTGAAATTCTGCAACTACAAGTAGTTTCTAGAAACAAATCTTATGGTTCCTGCAATTCCTACAAGAATGCGATTCCTCTAATTAGGTTGAAAGGTTTCTCAAGGGGATTTCTCCCTTTGGAAGGTTGCTGGGGCGGAATGGAAACCAAAAGGCATAACACGAAATTGAAAAAAGCCCATGCCCGGTACGGTGAAAGATGTGATCGGTTTACTCTCTTTGTAAAGGGGTACTTGCCAGTATCCTTGTTTAAGGTCAATACTGGAAATATATCTGGCTCCCCTTAACTTATCCAAGATGGCACATCATTCTTAGAGAGCTTATAGGGAATAATGAATCATTGTCTCGACAGATCCTGACTCGAAAACTAGCTACTCTATTGGCGCTAGTATCTGCACAAAGGTTGCAAACATTGGCAAAAATCAGGGTACAGAACATACATAATATGACGGGAGAAAAAATCCAAATCTTTATTGTGGATGCTATCAAAACTACTGCTGTAGGTAGATAGCCACCCTGCATACAGTTACCCTATTTTAATAGTAGACCAAAGCTGTGTGTTGCTTCGGCTTTATTAGCTTACATTGATAAGACTGCTACTCTTAGAAACTACGAACAGAAATTTCTTTTTCTTAGCATTGATTTTTGAGAGATATTTAAAAAGAAAATCAGAGTTTTGATAGTTTTGTTAAGGAATTAAAAATTTCAGTTAGGTCAACAGAATATACGGACCCAAATGATATGGTGAGAGACCGAGTTGTGTTAGCAATATCAGATAAATCAACACAAGAAAGGCTAAACTAATCTTGCAAAAAGCCGAAACTAACCTTGCAAAAAGCGGTGGATCATTGTAGGGCTATAGAAGCAAGCAAGTCCCAAGCTCAGGCTCTAGCAAATGAAGCCTTTGTAAGTGACGCCAGACTGAGGAAAGGTTCAAACAGAAGTGATAATGTGTCTTATGGTCAGCAGAAGGAATTCAAATGCAGTTACATATTAGAGGCAAATGCCCTACATATGGTGAATTTTGTAATGAATGCCAAGGAAGAAACTACTTTGCTAATGTGTAACATATTTACCGTTTGTTGGAGTTAATAGTCAAAATCAAATGCCTTTGTTGGGTTTATCAGGTTGTCTGGAGTTAGAGTTAGTTGAAGGAGTTAATTTTAATACTTTGAAAGATGTTGAATTTTTGTATCCGAAAGTGTTTGGGAAATTAGGTCAATTCCCAAGTAAAACGCATATCTCAAACTCTTCACAAACTAAGAGACCTCATTATTAAGACATTATTAGAATAGTTGAGAAGCATATAGAATAGTTAAATCCCCTAGTAATAATGGAAAAGAAAAATGGAGATTTGAAGTTGTGTCTTGACCCGAAATACAAAACAGCTTGAATACTTTCTAATTCCTACAGCCAAAGAAATTGCTAACAAACTCAGTAACAAAATCATTTTTACAGTATTGGATATGAAAGATGGTTATTTCCAAGTCAAGATTAATGATCACTCTTCGGATTACTGCAAGTATGGCACACCATTTTTGTCGGCTGCCTTTTGGTTTGAGTTCTGCCCCAGAAGTTTTTCAGAAAAAAAATGTTGGGCTTTTTGGTGACATTGATGGAGTCAAGATTTATTTTGACGATCTGATTACTTCGGGTAAAAAAGATGCCGAATGTGCAAGACAAAGTTGCTAGTATCAGCAGACTTATTGAAGTCCTTATTATGTGAAAATGTGAAAGAACGGCTCAAGCTGAGGCAAAACCGAAATAAGAATTATTTCAATAGGACTGCAACTCAATTGAAACCGTTAAAACCTGAACAAAATGTTTCGGTTTTTAACCATGTGAAGGAATCATTGGGAGCCAGGTAAAACATTGGATTTTGCCGAATTTTTCGAAGCTCTCAGATTCTGCCAGTTACACAGGCCATTGCTTGAGAAGAACCTCAGTTACTTTTCTAGCCGACAATAGAAGAGATATATTTATACAAATGTTAAAAAGTCATGGAGAGTGGAGTTCAGATACTGTTGCCGAAGAA